TCCCTAATTTAGCAGGTTCCCTCTAGTCTTACAGGCGGTGGGTGGTGATGACTAGCTGCCAAATCTTGGGCTACTCTTTTTACCAACGAATAGTGGGATTGACCGTCACATTATAACGCCCCCACGGCTGAAAAGGCGAGCATGTTTGGTGTGACAGGGATTCGAACCCGCCACCCACACTTTTATAAGTTAGATAATATTATACGAGTGTAAAGTATGTTATGTAAAACTTTTATCATTTTACGCATGTTGTACTGCATGATTACACATGATTAATTTACCGCGTGTGTCGTTTGAATGCGTTCGAATTTATTTTTTTTTTGCGTTTGGAGTGTGGTAAGGGCTGGTTGTGTAATATATTAGAGACGTTAAGATATTGTTCTAGTTAAAACAGCGTTACCACTTGCAGCCAGAAACAACTAACATAATGTCAAAAGTTCAAGTTATTAATCTGTGTTGCTTTCTTACAATAAAAGAAATAAATAAAGATAATAACGCAAAAACAAATTAACTCAAATAAGCAACCCACTATTTTTAACCATAATGCCTTATTTGTTTTTATGTCATAAATCAATATTGTTTATAAATGGTTAAAAACTGTCGCCCACAAGTGAAGTTTGATTTTGAACAGCATGTTTAGCCAACTCCCATTTCCTCTTACGTAATGAAACAACCAGTCATTCAATACACTTCCGTTTGAAGGCGCTGTACGAAAAGAATGAGAGCGTTTAATTCGTGTTTACTCTGTTAACTTTTAAAAGTATTACCCTTATATATATATCTATTTTCACTCAGTGTTAAGAAAATTGCATTACAAGCACGATTATTATAAAATACGTTTGTAGAATTATAAACGGACTTTTCTCTACATTAAAATACTTTTATTGCGAGTTTTCGGCCCTCTTACCTCTTCATGGGGCAACAATGCATTGTTGCCCGATGAAGTCTCCTACGTTATGAGTCTTAAACAACAATTATAAAATGCGTTTGTTGTGTATATCAAGCTATAGTAAGACTGTGGTTAAATGTTACGATGATATAATAGAGCACTAATCATTTTTAGATCTCTCACATATTACTTTACGTATTGTATCGTATATAGATCTTTTTTTAAGTTAGATTTTTAACTTGACAGTATACACTCAGACAAATTTGACTTTCCCTAACGTGATACTTACTGTCTTCTAACATTCAAACTGTCATGACTCAAATGTGGCATTTCTAGTTTATACTTAACAAGGGTCCCTTTTGGCAATTTTGTGCTTTGATTTACTCGTAAAAAAATAAACTTTATTATCATTATTATTGTCACGAGATATCGACTTTTTAAACTGATATTCAGCTTTTGAGTTGAAAAAAAATCGTAACACTACTGGGAGTCCAGTGTTTAACTTATATTTTCGATTTCTGCTGTTTGTAAAATAAAGAATTTCGTTGTTACTGTAAGTATAAAGTCGCGAATACATGACCTGATATCAAGCAAGCGAATATTTCTATGTTGTATAATTTTAAGCAAAAAAAAATAAAAAAAAATCATGTCTCAAAAAAAGAGGTGAGTGCACACAGCCAGAGAAACAATTACAGGAATATTTTCTTACTTACAACCAGTCTTCTTAGCTTGATTCGAGAGATATTTTTTTTGCCTAGCTCTTGAATTCTGGAACCAAACCTGAGTGACTCTCTTGCTGAGTCCAGTGATTTGAGCGATCCGTTCGAGGTCCTGCCCGTCAGGATTTGAATCTAAATTGAAATTGGCTTGCAAGACCTGCAGCTGTTCTTCAGTAAAAGTTGTTCTGACCCTTTTGGTCTTCGTCTTCTGTTGGCATTCCTGGTCACCGCCGCTCTCTAGAAAAATAAATATATTTATTAAAAGAAATCTGCTATGTCCACCGCGGGGAATCGAACCCCGAATTTTAGCGTTGTAAATCCGCAAACTTACCGCTGTTCCACCAGGGGACAAAAAAATCATGACATTATAGCATATGGGGATTTGAAACTAATAAAAAAATTTGTCCCTCTCACATTAAAAGAAGAAAATGGAAGAGGGTTCGAATCATGCTAGTGACCAATATTGAATTCTCAATAAAAACAAAAATAACTCGATACAATAAAGAAACTATGCGTACCATATTTTGTTACAAACAAACTCTTATGATTCTTATAGAATTTTAATATAATGTTTTCTTATTAGCTGTCATAAACCTCAAAACAGTGTCTTTTTTCCCACTTTCACTAGATCGTAGAATGCAATGTTATTAGCTACAAGAAATTCAGTAGTTTTAAGAATTATTAATAGACGTTTATTACACTTGACACACTGACAAAATCATTCCAACAGTAAAGCTGTTAACAGCTGTGATACACCTAAAAACTATGAAATCAGTGGCTCAGCGGTAAATCTGATGGCTTTCAACACTAAACATCTGGTTTCGATACCCATAGCACAGATAGCCCATTGCGTAGCTTTGTGCTTAAATATAAGCAAACATTTAAAACAATTCGCTTCGCTTTTGTTTTTAAACCTCAAAATTGACGATTTGGTTTTATATTGTTTATCAACGGTGGGGATTTCATATTACATCATATTGAGTAATGTTATTTTTTTCCTTGTTACAACATCCACGGTAAAGAACTGACCAAAACAATTAGGAGAAATCACATATTTTCTATGTAAAGTACACAGGAGGCTCCAGTAGTAATTAGTCTCATTAATTACTAACTGAATATAACTTATACGTTTGTTTATATTGTGCGATTTATGTGGTATTAGGAACCCTTTAACCAACAAATTCACAAACCTATGGCCTCCAGTGGTACAGCGATATTTCTGCGGTCTTATATCGCTAGAATCCGAGTTTCGATACCCGTGGTGGGCAGAGCACAGATGACCCTTTGCGTAGCTTTGTGCTTAATAACAAATAACAACAACACAAACCTGCAAGCAATTAGTAAAACCAATGAAGCTTATGTGGCTAAATGGTTTGTCTTGAAATGGTAATAATTACTAAACACTAGAGACAGAGGAAATAGTTTAGTTATTCTTTTAAAATATTTTTTTCAACTCGAAGACACGTCTTCGATGAGCAGCGCATCACGTGATTTTTACTAGTTTCGTCAATCTTGTTTGCCTACTCACAGTATAACGTTTCGTCAGCGCTGTCATATTTTATCTAGGAAGGTTTGAACTATGACCTCGGCCCAATGTATGAGACGGTCTCGATAAGTGACGAACACATTGACTATGGATAACCCAGATAAAACGAATTAACAATAATCAATACCGCAGATATAAAGACTTTCTTCTTTTCTCGGACCTGATGTTGCATTGATGTTTTTTAATGTAAATCACCACCATATCAGATGTCGATAACGGCATCTGGTGTTATCGTGTCAACTAAAGATAACATTACTTGATATGAAGATGTCCAAATGTTCATTCATTTCGGGATGATTATGTCAAGGAGCGAGAACAGTTTCAGTTCACTTTCAAAATTAGTAAGAAACTTCTCCTAATTGGTTGTCATCAGCGAATAACATCATGTAAGAAACTGCTTCTAACTGGTTGACTTAAACAAATAATATCCAGTAATATACGTTTCCTAACTGGTTTCTGAGCGAGTAGGATCCAGTAAGAGTTTTCTTTTACTTGGTTGTCTTCAGCGAATAAGATCAAGTAAGAGACTACTCCTAACTGGTTGAATTAAACGAGGAATATCCATTAATATACGTTTCCTAACTGGTTACTGAGCGAGTAAAATCCAGTAAGAGTTTTCTTCTGATTGGTTGCCTTCAACGAATAAGATCCATTAAGATAATTCTTGATGTTTTTTCTTCAGCGTTAGATAATCCTCATTACTATTATTAATGTTTCAGAAATTTACGATTTCAAGTTTTTCTCGAACAAAATATTATCAGTAAGATTTATTTTATGTTGGTGTGTAGTAGTTGCGTATGTCAAGAGTTTAAATTACACGTGCTATATCGAAAGATGCAACTCGTTCAAAACGTACGCGTGAAATTCAAAATAATATCATTCTACAGATATTTTTATTTTATTTCTCAGGGAAAGTAGGAACGTACTCCAATGGAAAACCAAAGTATCATTATTTCCGGAATTACCCCCCCCCCCAGTGGCACAGCGGTCTGCGGCCTTAAAACACTAAAAACCTGGTTTCGATACCCGTGGTGGTAGAGCACAGATAGCCCACTGCGTAGCTTTGTGCTTAACTTCAATCAAACTTTCTGGAATTTTTCTAGATTTTAGTGTAGATAATAAAGAGAAAAATTATCATGGCTAACAAATTTACGTAATTAATTTTGATATTTTATGCTATTTCAAAAATTTCCTCGTCAAAGGTATCAGAAACACGTTAGCTGTAATGGTACAATTTATAAAATATATCGCATTGTTTTTAAACGTTAAACTTCATTGGATTAATCTGTTTATTTTGATAACTGTGAAAGGTCGAGTGCTGAAGTTATTCATTCATAAAATGGTTTAGGAATTTTAATTTTTACTCAAACAATTTAATTAAGTTTACCGACTGAAAAGTTGGACTATTTAAAGACGCGTAAGAAACATAAAAATTGTGAAGTCGACTGTAATAAGAATGGTGTCGTTTAATGAAATTTACAAATTTGTTAAGCCTACATCCTCGATTTTGATTTCATATCTAAGTACAGTGTTTGTGTGACATTACATCAGAATAAGACTGATAATTTTTAACCAAGATTTGTTTAAAATTATTAATAATCAAATTGTAATTCAAAACCAAACAAACAAACACATTACAGATCGCAATTCGTAGACACACGGCGTGATTTTGTCTGTTTTAAGTTAAGCACAAAGCTACACAATGGGCTATCTGTGCTCTGTCCACCACGGGTATCGAAACCCGGATTCTAGCGTTGCAAATCCGCAGACGTAGCGCTGTGGTACTGGGGGAGGGGGGGGGGGCTCAAAAGGCATGATATACCATAATAATTTGTATCTTTATGTATTAAAAGATTCAACAATACCTGTTGTAATTCTAAGTTTTTTGTCAATGATAAAATTGTTCTCTGCCCTTTGAGTTATTATTGTGACCCCGAAGAAAATTACAGAGATAAAATATTACAAATAAAACGAAGAACACGTTATCTATTGTTGTTTTTTGTCGTTTAAAAATGGCTTGAGCTTAAAGTTAGTTTTTCAAATTGCGTATAAAGCCGGCCCGGCATGGCCAGGTGGTTAGGGCGCTCGACTCGCAATCTGCGGGTCGCGGGTTCGAATCCCCGTCACACCAAACATGCTCGCCCTTTCACCCGTGGGGGCGTTATAATGTGACGGTCAATCCCACTATTCGTTGGTAAAAGAGTAGCCCAAGAGTTGGCGGTGGGTGGTGATGACTAGCTGCCTTCCCTCTAGTCTTACACTGCTAAATTATGGACGGCTAGTGCAGATAGCCCTCGTGTAGTATTGCGCGAAAATAAAAAAAAACAAAGAAAATATAACTCAATCAGCCAAAGCAAAACTTGATGTATTGCTCTATTTTTTGGGGGTGTTGGGTGACCAGACGTGCCGGTTTTGAACCTGTTGCCTCTGAGTCCCGAAAAAAAAAAACAACAACTTCGGAACGCTGATTTATCCCAGTTTTTTTAGGGAAAATTTTGTCTAAAATAAGCACCGCTCACGTACCTAGCTGTATCTATAAGGTTATCGAGTGCACGCGGAGTACTCGTGAACGAACGGGAACATTCTAGGCGTGCCGTTGCTAGAAGCCGCCAGAAGCATAGACAATGTGACTAAAACCAGAAGTAGAAGATTTCCACGGTACCTGTTACGAATATCTCCACAAATGGATACATACACTTTCAAATACATCGCGGTTTTCCTGGATGCTTCTCAACAAACCACTTTTGTGGGAACAAGTTGAGGAAAATGTAGTGGATGATCAAACTATTGAACCAAATAAGTGTACAGGAAGAGGATAAGGAAGATTGGAAAGATAGGTTGGAATGATAAATTGGACAGATAGGTTGGAAAGATAGATTGGAAAGATAGGTTGGACAGATAGGTTGGGAAGATTGGTTGAAAAGATAGAATGGAAAGATTGGTTGAAAAGATAGAATGGAAAGATAGATTGGAAAGATAGGTTGGACAGATAGATTGGACAGATAGGTTGGAAAGATAGATTGGAAAGATAGGTTGGAAAGAAAGATTGGAAAGATAAATTGAAAAGATAGGTTGGAAAGATAGATTGGAAAGATAGATTGGACAGATAAGTTGGAGAGATAGATTGGAAAGATAAATTGGACAGATAGATTGGAAAGATAGATTGGAAAGATAAGTTGGAAAGATAGATTGGAAAGATAGGCTAGAAAGATAAGTTGGAAAGATAAATTGAAAAGATAGGTTGGAAAGGTAGATTGGAAAGATAGATTGGACAGATAGGTTGGAAAGATAGATTGGAAAGATAGGCTAGAAAGATAAGTTGGAAAGATAAATTGAAAAGATAGGTTGGAAAGGTAGATTGGAAAGATAGATTGGACAGATAGGTTGGAAAGGTAGATTGGAAAGATAGATTGGAAAGATAGGTTTTGTCATGAAAAGCGGGTATATTTCTTCAAGTCCTAGGAAGTTATATCAGGATCTGTTTAGCATGGTAACGTGGAAACAATATTCTCTGTGATGAACGAGCAATGGACTGACGAGAGAAACCAGGCGGAAGTGAATACATTGGAAGCGATTCACCAATTGGTAACCAACTTAAAGATGAATTGTGTTCAATAATGCAACATTGTGAATAATTAAAAAACAATTTTTTTTGGGGGGGGGGGGGAGCTAAACCAATTGAAAATTTTAA